TACTATATAGCGTGGGTTGTGGAGTGTGATTTAGTGAGTGTGAGCTTCATTTGCGTTCTCATTTGTTATTAAGAACAAACCATTGTATTTAATCTTTATTTGTGAGTATCACTTGTAATACACATGTACACCGAGAGAAGTGTGAGGCGAGAGACGGGGTCGAATCCAATAGGAGTGACGTTGGTTGACGAACCTAGGAAGAGGTTGCATCCGAGCACTTGAGGAGGAGGACACGGGCTAGGTTCCTACACTTAGTGTGTAAAGTGTGATTGATTAGTGATTGTGTAGTGTGAGAGTTTTCGGTGATCTTGTAAACCGAGTGTGTAGAAGTTCCGGCTTCCAAACCGGATTGTGATAGTGGAGATCTCCTCGAGGTGAGGAGCGGGGACGTAGGTCGTGATGACCGAACCTCGTAAACATATCGTTTGTTTGTGTTTTGCTTAGCGTTCTTTTTATTTGTGCTTATTCATATCTCTCTTGCTCATATCTATCTTATATCATTCTTGCAAAAACAAATTAATCAACATAATTTTAATTGGTATTTAATCGGGATTAGATTAGCATAAGACCCTAATCACCCCCTCTAGGGTCTAACATATGTATGCTTGAACTAATGCTATATAACTATAACATGAACTTGCAATTTGCAACGATGTAATAATTTGAAAGAACACAACAGCCATGTAACATAAAAGATTAGCAAGTTATATAAATAAAAATTAGCAAGAGCAAGTGTAAGTCATGTTAAGAAAGTGGTATATTACATTAAATGCATATATAAAACATAAAATTGCGAGCCCACCGTTCATACATTATACTCTTATCTCCTTAATCTCTGAGACAGCTCTTACATACCTTTGATATGTTTAGAAAAAATCGTAGTTTTTGGAAATGTCATGAGAATATGGAATAATTATGCTTCAGGTGTCCAACCATCTAAGTATTAGACACATGAAAGGTAGGATTACATCTCCTTTATAAAAGTATTGTTGCAGCATACATTAGTTCATGATGATCCGTGAGTCTTTCCATAGAATGAATTCTCCTTTATCAAAAGTATCCTTGCAACATACATTTAATTCATGATCCAAAAGTCTTTTGATAGAATGAATTCTCTAATAATATAAACACAATGTTCAAACCCATTATCCCAGTAAATCTTTATTGAGTCACACAGCCCGTCCAATATGAAAACATCTTTGTGCCAGCTCTTTTCCTCTCTCCTCAAAAAGAAAAAGGAAAAAAGAAAAAAAATAACTGAAAAGGAAAAAAGAAAAGAAAAGAATCTCGTTGATGTTGGAGTCCACTGTAAATAGTTATCACAGAGACGTGCATCATGTTTCTTTGTATTAATGAAGGAAACATTATTTTAACATTTTTCCATTAATAAAAAGAGAACTATAACGGACAAAACTTTACCTAGCGTCAATCCATAACATTTTCATGGATATTTCAATAAATGACATTTCACCAGGATTTATGAGATGACAGATGGTGGTAAGTCAGTGTATTCTGAATGAAGAATTTAAGTTGTAGCTCAAAAGAATATGGATTCACTGGAAAACAGCCACATAGGTGAAAGGATCCTTACCAATTCTCTGTTGCAGTAAACTTCAAAAGCACCTGAGCTTTGTAGGAAAGATTGTGCAAAATTGCCAAGTAACCAAGTTGTAGCCATAGAGCCAAATCTGTTGGCACGCAAGGAATGGTACCATTGAGGTGGTGGCATTCCCAGCCTGGGGAAAATATGCTCCCCACCCATTATGATTCCAATAACACCAAATTGAGCGACAGGGACTATTTTGTTAAGCAGGCGCTTAGGAAGACTTGGGGGGTAATTTGACAGAATAACATCAATCCCTGGGAAAGAAGCTTCTAGCATCTTCTTCATGGTCACTGCAGTTCCTCTGCCAGAACAGCATTCACCAGCTTGATCAGTTAAATTTTCAAAATTATAAAAAAATATTATAAGTCTATGAATATAAGCTTGCAAAAAAACTTCATTTGTTCCTGCTTCCAAACAAGTATATTATTATGTTCGCATAAATATGATAGATTGATATGTCAGATGAATACTGAGTGCATTAATTACTGGAACACAAGCATACAGCAATGATAATATGTAGTTGACCTTTCAATACATAGAACATTCTACAAGCAAGCAACAAATTTCTACCGTTAGCTAAAGGCCATCAACCCCATAAGATAACAACAAGTAATCAACAAAACAAATACAAGCTACAGTTGTTCAGTTGCAGCCAATGTTTCTAGTGTAAAGTGGAAAACTATCATCTTCCTTGCTTATGGGATCTCTATGAATAGCATTAGCCTCCTGCTAAAGCCCAAAGGAGAACAATTCCCTTTTACTTTCAAAATAACATTGCATCATCGCCTAAGCCTTTTCCTATCCAAATAGGATGGCTTATCCAATTTTATTTGTTAATCTCCCTTTGATAGGTAATGGAATTCTAGAAACATTCTACATAATATTGTATCATGAAAAATCACCATTTCACATCAAACATAGAAAATGTTTGTCCCAGAGAGTTCAGTCCTAATATAGAAACTAGCCTCTACAATTGTAACATAAGATTTATGGTGAAGAAACAACAAGAAAAAGGTAACTAATGTGTGTTTCCTGACACTTGTATCAAGGAAACTTGTTTGTATTGAAATTTAAATTTCTGATTTCATGATTTCATTAGACATTAGATAGAAAACTGGTATATGCATTAAGAGGTGCGGAAAAGAAAAGGGCAGATTGGATGAAGCTAGATAAAACCACCTTATAAAAAGAGATAAGATGAAGGTTAAATTACTTAGCTCGTTATCAGAATGGCATAACATAAAACCCGTTTGGATAAAACTAATGTCAAGGTTAAATTACTTAGCTCAGACTTGTGATTCCCTCATTTTAAGCAGTTCGTTCATTTTTAGTCATTTTAGAAGTATTTCAAATCCATTGTTTTCAGAACGTTACGACGAGTTTATCTCCATCAAAACAAATATGGATGAAAGATTAAAGACACTCTGCCCTTTTAAGTAGATCTGTTCCTTTTTCACTGCCAGTGAAAAAAAAAAACCTCCCTTTACAAATTACCCCAATGCTCAAAGTGCAAAGCTTTTGAAGCTCCAATCTCTACAGTTCTTTACACTGTCAATCATCTTCACTGCATCTAAGATTTGCCTATTTCAATTCTACTAAAGAACGGGATCAATTGCTCCAATCACCAAATCAAGCTAAAAATCCCCAAAAGAAAAAAAAAGAGGGGATTTCCATCTACTCACTTGTAAGAGCAGGAAGTGCAGAACTTGATATCGACAACATAACCATACGCATGCCCTCGCGGCCGCTGCAAACGACAACCAAGAAAAGCTAGGGTTTTGATTTAGTTAAAACTTAGCAGAAACCGACGAGCTAGGGTTTGGACCGATCGAACCTGCGTCGCCGCGGCGGGGAAATCGGGGGGCGGC